CCTTCTGCATAGGAGGTGGACTGGATAGCCCAGTGCCGTGGTCGGCAAACTGGGGCTCGCGAGCCACATGCGGCTCTTTGGCCCCTCGAGTGTGGCTCTTCCACAAAATACCACGGCCTGGGCGAGTCTATTTTGAAGAAGTGGCGTTAGAAGAAGTTTAAGTTGGAAACATGTGGCTCTCTAAAGACACTTCAATCATTGTGCTGCTGTTATTTGGCTCTGTTGACTAAGGAGTTTGCCGGCCCCTGGCTTAGTGCTTCCTGGAAGCATGATGCTCCATCATGGTGCAGGCTGGACTGAGGGGACCCCCACACCCTTCCGTCCACCGGCTATTGTGGAGCAAAGCCTGGAAATCAGCTCTCGAGTTGACTGAGTTTTGACTAGAACTTGTCCCCAAGCGGTTGCCTTTCGCAACATTTATGTTGAATAACTGCCATTTCGCTCATTTTACTTGTCATTTTTGTTCTGCTGAAATCAATGTCTGCCCTTCCCTTGACTGGGACCCAGAAACAGCCGATGTGCATCATCTCTTCCTCTGTTGGCACACTAGACCCAGCTCCAAAGGATTGGGGCGCCCCAGGAATTCGGCAGGGCCCAGCTCCCGGTGGGAATCAGAGCACGCATGTGCACAGCAAAGCCAGCGCACACGTACCATTTTCAGCCTGCTGCTCCGGCGTCTCCACCCCAGACAACGGCTGCATCGCAGCGTGTGCTCATGGGGACAGATGGAAATCCCATTAGGAAGCACAGCCAGCTCTGTGTTCCCACATTTTTCAGGAGAGAAACCACATTCGGCGCAAGAACAGTGCAAAAGCCCTAGTGTCGATGCCTCTAAATCAACTGAATGTCTCACCTCTTCCAAGATATTACACAAGCAAAGCCCATAGGGTGAGCTGAAGACTTTGCCCTACAGAGAAGGACCCGGGCTAGGTAGGGCTAGACCAAAGACCCAAGTTCACCATGTACTTTTCCTAAAGCTCTAATTTTTCTTGCCTGGAAAATCATTATACAAATGACTTCTTAAAAAAATACAACAATAACAAAGAATACAACAAATAACTATTATAAAGTAACTTATATGCCAAGTGCAATTAAACCTCAATAAAGTGTGTGATATATAATACTTTAACAATAAAGATTTTAAAAATAATTCTATATAATAAAGAGGTGATATGCAAATTAACTTTCACACCCTTACAAGATGGCTGCCTGTGACCAGGCCGGCAGGGGGGTTGATGAGGGACAACCAAACTATTGAACTGCTGCATGGGACGACCAGGTCAGCAGGTGGGGGCAGTTGGGGGCAACCAGGCCAGCAGAGGGGGTAGCCAGGCTGGCGGGGGTGGAAGTTAGGGGTGATCAGGCAGGCAGGCAGGTGAGCAGTTAGGAGCCAGTAGTCCTGGATTGTGAGAGGGATGTCCGACTGCCGGGTTAGGCCTGCGATCGGGCCTAAAGTGGCAGTCTGACATCCTCCTATTTGGTTTTCCACAAATTAAGATCACTTAGCTCTCCTCAAATTTACTTTGAGGGTGAAATTAAGGTGATTTCTAACTTAGATATTCCACATAAAACTTTCTCCCCCATCATTCATGTGGGGATGTGTGCAAGCCATACGCTTACTGCCTACTGAGCCAGTGTTGGCGAGCATGTCCGATCCTCAGACAAAGCCTGCCTGTGCCTCCTGCCACGGGACACCAAAAGCTCGGGCCGTGGGCCTCACCACAGTTCAATCAGCTCTGCCCTTTATTCTCATTGCGATTCTTGTGACATTTTCAAACTCAAGGGTGTTTGTCTGTGGGCCGAGAGCTCGTGCCAGTTTATTTTAGGAGCATGAGCAGCAGGAGAAACGAAGATGCGTGTCTGGAAGATGGGAGAGAAGGGATACTGGTGCATGTAAATGCAGCCGGAGAAAATCTGGCTGGCTGGGGACCATTTCGCAGGGATAATGAGGAGTGAATCTACAGACGTAAGGATAGACTGGTCATTTCCCAAGCCGTGCCACCCTCCCTTAGAAGTGACTTGAAGGATTTCAAGAGTTGTCTACCTTTTTATTAGTAGTAGTATTTTAATTTTTCGTTGTTAAATTATTTTTCCACTGAGGATATTTTCCCATTGATATTTAGGGAGAGTGGGAGAGAGAGGGAAAGACAGAGAGAAACATCAATGTGAGCATAACACATCGATTGGTTGCCTCCTGCATGCATCAGATCAGGGCCCAAACCGGGGAGGAGCCTGCAACCAAGGTACATGCCCTTGACCAGAATGGAACCTGGGGGACTCTTTGGTCTGCAGGAGGATGCTCTATGCACTGAGCCAAAATGGCTGGGGCCAGATTGCCTACCTTTTTTTTTTTTTTAAAATATATTTTATTGATTTTGTACAGAGAGGAAGGGAGAGAGATAGAGAGCTAGAAACATCGATGAGAGTCATCAATCAGCCGCCCCTTGCACACCCCCTACTGGGGATATGCCCGCAACCAAGGTACATGCCCTTGACTGGAATCGAACCCAGGACCTTTCAGTCCCCAAGCCAACGCTCTATCCATTGAGCCAAACCGGTCTTGGTCAGATTGCCTACCTTTATAAAGGTCATGTGCTGCCTGTTGACGTCTGTACAGTTGGGAAGGTCACGCCCCAGGATACCACCAGAAGACCGAGGTCCTCACTGGAAGAGGGGATGGGGTCTTCTCCCAGGGCCTGCAGCGGGGAAAGCCACTCTGGCAGTTAGAGTTCAGACCTTTCCCCCAGGAATGGTATGTGCTGGCCCAGAAGGGATTGACACCCACCACCTCCTCCTAGGTGGAAATGGGCCCAGTCATCCCGAAAGAGGCTACCGGCCTTTCTTCGCTCACAGAACTGTTAAGGAACGTGCCACTTTGCAAAGCAAATTTTGAATTGTTTTTCTACTATCCCAGTTCCTTTATTCTTCATGGAATATACCCTGAATGCCCTTCATGACTTGTATTTTCCTCTCAGATTCTGATATGTATTGATGATAATTTGTACGTGTTAAAAAAAAAAATTAACAAGTACGACGCTTCTGTGTTTGCCACCCTCAAACAGGAATAAATTGTTTGACTTACGTGATGAGGCTGTTGCATTCGTGCATGCACACTGATCCCTTTTCCTCTTAGCATCATCTCTGAACTGCTCCCTCAACCTAAAACTTGGCTAGCACGGAGCAGCTCATTCTCCCACTGGTGTCTCTCGCTTCCCTTTCTGTGTGGGCCCCAACTCTGCCTCCACTTGGCTCCACTCTTTCTTCAAAGTCCCAGTTCCCCTTGGGCTCTCTTGACTGTCCCCAAACTCCCTTCACACACAGGCCCACTCCACGTTGGACCCCTGTTTCGCCCTGCCTGGGGTTCCTCACTCTTATCTGTCAAGTTGAAACATAACAAATTGACAACATTCAATTATTTTTTATCTCCACAATAGCAAGTGCATATAGTTCAACCTAATATATACTTTTTCTTACTCCCCTCCCATGTAATTTTTCTTTACATTCCCAGTGTCTACAATAGACCCTTACAGAGTAGGTGTTTGCTTGGCTCAGTGAATAGAGTGTCAGCTTGTGGACTGAAGGGACCCAGGTTTGATTCCGGCTAGGGCACATGCCTGGGTTGTGGGTTCCATCCCCAGTAAGGGGTGTGGCAGGAGGCAGCCAATCAATGATTCTCTCTCTCTTCTTCCTTCCTCTCTGAAATCAATAAAGAAATATATTTTTTCTTTATTCTTCTTCTTCTTCTTTAGAAAGAAGAAGAAGAAGAAGAAGAAGAAGAAGAAGAAGAAGAAGAAGAAGAAGAAGAAACAGGCTTCAAGTATTCTTAAGTTAGTCAAATGGTAGATAAGTTTCCGTTTTCATCTAAAAATGCATTCTAACTCCGTAATACACTCCCCACGGACGATGTGGGGAGTTTATGATGCCCCCTGCCAAAATTTCCTTCTACGTTCCAAGACAGAACTATGATACTTTATGGTACTAGAAGTTATGGCTAGAGGCATTGCTTTGTAAATATTATCGGCTTTAATAGGTCCTATATTTCAAAATTATTATTTGGAGAATTTCCATCAGCAAATTCTATATTCACTGAAATATATTTCACATTTATTGCATAATTAAGTTACACAACCCAGTTAGAAAAAAAATCAGAATATGACACTTCATCTAGTTACATTTCATAGATTCTTCTGTCCTTCTCCCTTAATGTGGTCATAATTCTCTATATATTACATTAATTATTATCATAAACTGAAACTGGATAAGGAAAAAAAATCGAGTGAATAAGTATACATATTTGTAACACTAAGTGACTTACAAGGTATCTGGAACTGATACTCATTGCTTTCCAAAATAAAAATAAAATAGCATGTTGACAACTGAACTCAATTTAGTATTCTAAGGGCAGAATACAATGACAAGAGTGGAGAAATGGAGAACTCTGTATTACTTTGAGTACATCCACAGTGGTAGGCTCAGAATTACGTAAGGAAATAAGTAAATATTCCCACCCCCTCTTTGCTCTGCTTGCTGTGGACACATCCATAAAGCCCAAATTTCTTTTTCCATGATTCCATTTCTTAGAGCCACCATTTCCTCAGCTGATGAGTCATCTTCAGAACTTAATTCCAAATGCGTTTATAGTGCTTTAGATTAGCCTTTCATTCGTGTCCAGTCAGAACATATAAAAGACATCACAGAGCCAGGAAAACATCTCTTTTAGGGGAATGGAGGGAAGAACAAGCTTCTTATTAATTGATTTGGATCTGCCACTTGTCATATATGTGTCATTAAAACAAACAGGACAGCTTTGGCTCACATTTCTTTTTTCATATTGAGTTTAACGAAGTTCTGAAGTCTTGATGAAGATGGTCCATCATAATGTCTCAAAGATAGGAAGGGGTCAAATTTCTTTGACGGACGGTAGGAAGCTCACTCTCAACGCTTAAGCATTGTCAACACAGCCTCAGAGGACATTTTAAAAAGTGAGTGAGACTTCCTCTTCAAAGACCTTCTTCCTTTGTGGTCCCCCAATCACAGTCACCTTCAGCTGCCTTCATCTTGCTTGTCCTTGGTAGAAAACTAGAATAGTCTTTCTGCTGTGAAGTAAACAGAGAAGTCAGAAATACATATATGGGAGGAAATAACTTCCATAACAACAATAACAAAGTCAAGGATTCTCATATTTAGCCGAAACCGGTTTGGCTCAGTGGACAAAGCGTCAGCCTGCGGACTGAAGGGTCCCAGGTTCGATTCTAGTCAAGGGCATGTACCTTGGTTGCAGGTACATCCCCAGTAGGGGGTGTGCAGGAGGCAGCTGATCCATGTTTCTTTCTCATTGATGTTTCTAACTCTCTGTCCCTCTCCCTTCCTCTCTGTAAAAAAATCAATAAAATCTATTAAAAAAAAGAAAGAAAGAAAGAAAGAAAGAAAGAAAGAAAGAAAGAAAGAAAGAAAGAAAGAAACATCATTGATGAGAGAGAATAATTGAATAATTGATTGGCTGTCTCCTGAACACCCCCTCTTCCCCACTGGGGATTGAGCCTGCAATTGGGCATGAAAATCCAACTGTGACCTTCTGGTTCAGAGGTCGACACTCAACCACTGAGCCATGCTGGCCAAGCTATACTAAGTATTTTTTATATACACAGCAGATCTTGTGACAGGAGCTGGACCAATAATAAATTCCATTCAAATGCTACTAAGAGGTCACCTGTATTTCATTCATCTACTCCAGGACTTGAACTTAGAAAGAGTTAGCAAAAGTAGTTACGGGCACAGAGTTGGAGTTAGGTGCCTGCTTCCTTCCACCACTGACTACTGTGCAACCTGGGGCCAGCCATGTAACCTCTCTGATTTACAAGATGGTGGGGAGGATGAATGCGTTAACCCAGCGGTCGCCAACTGGCGGTCTGTGAGGTCTGAAAGGTTGGTGACTGCTGGTTTAAGGAAACCTTTGGAGCAGTGGTCACCAGCAATAAACAGGCTACACTTCTTGGCCTAGCTCAGTGGTCAGCAAACTCATTAGTCAACAGAGCCAAATGTCAACAGTACAACGATTGAAATTTCTTTGGAAAGCCACATTTTTTAAACTTAAACTATATAGATAGGTACAGTGTTATTAACTTAATTAGGGTACTCCTAAGCTGGCCTTTGCTAAAAACTCAAGGGGCCAAAGAGCTGCATGTATCGATAGCTCGAGATCCGCAGTTTGCCGACCACTGGCCTAACCTACATGGAAGAGCTTCTGCAAAGGAAGAATTCTGGCTTATTATTAAAAGTAGAATGACTTTGGTTATTGAAAGGGGGGGAGGGATGGCAGATGTATCAAAATGATAATGTATCGGTTACATAATTTCACTCACAGACCTGGCTTTGTTGACTGTGGTATTTTTTACTTCTGCCTTGTTCTGGAACTTCAATCTGCTAAAGAGATTAGGAAAATGTCGGTCAGTGCAGCCCGGAGAAGCAAGCACACAAATAACCTATTTAACTGGAACATTCCCCCTTCCACAATAATCCTCTTAAAGGCCCCAAAGGCTGCCAGGCTCACCCTTCTTATCTGCAAATTCCCCCCTTTGTTTGCGAGTGTCTAAGGGTTACAGCAATTGAGTTGCCAAAAGTAAAGGGAAGCTTCATGTTTCACATGGGTAGTTGCCTATGGACATTGTGGTTTAACACGGATTCCAAATGGTCTTCACCCAAAATAAAATGAACTTCTAATCCTGAAATAATTCACAGAGCTCCCATCCGTAAGCTGAATCAAGGCCAGAAGGGGCTCTGATCAATCCAAAGGCGCCATCAGTCAAGGGAGGAATCAAACTGAAGTTCAAGACACTGGCATCTACCTCATGCTCATAAGGTAAACGCAACGGAACAGCCAGGGTCCGAGCAGCGTACAGGTGGCGCCCTCTTGGGGTGACTGAGGAGTTTTCAAAAGGAGCTATATTTAGTGGAGGCGTGGGAAGGATTAAAGTGCATCCATGAAGGGATGTTGGAGTCCCCGGGGACTAGGGTGTGGGGGTGATTTCTCCCCCCTCTAGGCCTGAAGGGACGAGAGCAGGGAGTATGGGAAGGGGAGTAGCAGGGAGGAGAGGCCCCCACAAAAGCGTGACCCTTGTCCATGGCTGTGCAGAGTAGCAGAGGCCCACAATCCCCCAGTCTCACTTTTCTCCCACCCTCACGCTCCCTGGTTTTCCCCAGTGGTGAGCATGATCCAAGGTCGGAGATCAAGAGGGCAAGGTCACAGTACAGAAAGGTCAGTCTCCAGGCCATGGAGAGGTTGTAAGAGAGTGAAGAATGAACCCGGAAGGGTAAAGAGATTGTCTGGCATAGCCAATGTACTTGGCCTAGCCAGGGTTTGGGAGGAAGAGTTGTTAGGCTCTTAGGAAAAGAGAATTACTATGAAACCATGATGTGCATGTCTCAGCTTGTCCCTCTGTAACTGTAAATGTCTCTTTGCTAATTGCCTTTCTCCTCCAACAAACTCCCTGGTGCTAAAGCCCCAGTTTCTAACCACCGCACGGCAAGCTCAGGCATTCAGGAAGGATGGAATGAGGGGTGATTTAATTAAGTTGTCTGTGATTGCTTATTATTCGTGAGCGTATAGAGGGGGACATTTCCAATTAAGTGGGATAAATAACATTGACACCACAAAAGAACATAATTTGTTAACTATGGTTAACTTAATTTTGTTATACAATATATTGCTTTGAAATATGCACAGGACTTAGATTAGTATTGCTAATAGAAAGCTCATATAGTTGAGGCCTATTTCAGCAATTTTTAAAAAATCAGTTATTAAGTTTCAGTAATGAGAAATGAATGCTCTGACGTTGTATGTGTTTCACCATTATGATTATTGTTCTTATACAACATTACATCATCGCTTGTAAATAATCTTGTGCAGAGAACTACAGAGTTGGGGTGAAACCCAGAATTTTTTTTCTCTCCTAGTCTCATTCCCCTCCCCCTCCCTAGGTAAAAAATAAAATAAAATAGAACCCACTACAGATGTTAAGCGATTTCTGACATAATCTATTTCCTTGTTTCAATAGGCTTTAACTATCTTACATCCTAGAAGGAATACAGTTGGGAGGAAAGCGAATTCTTTTTCATAAGGCAGTATTCCTGCCCTTTCTCCTTCATCCACAGAGTAGTTTCTATTAACCATCCAGCCACTTCCTCCCGCATCATTCTTCCCCCTGGTTCTCTAACACTTTGTCCTCTGTATGTTCAGCCCCTTCTCATGACCACCACAACATGTCTGAACTTCTGTTTTCTGAACTGGACGAGCAACGCAAAGGCCAGCATTGCTGCGACATCAGACCACACTGCCCCTGGTCTGCTCCCTCCTCACCACCTGCCGGGAACACACTTCAAAGCACCCAGCTCCGAGCCGGCAGCCTTTTACATGGTCTGATCTTACCCAAGATGAAAGAGAAGCGGAGAGAAAAACAGGATAGATGTGATGGTAGTTTGGGAGGGGCTGACAAGTATGAGGCAAGCAGGAAGCAGAAGGCCATCTTCTTCTCTGCCATTTCTCAGAAAACCATTTTAGAGAGTCAGAGGCACTTTAAAGTGAACAAACTAATAAAGCAATCTAAGTATGGATTATTTACAAAAAAAAAAAGTGAACAAACTAATAAAGATTATTTACAAATAATGGATTATTTACAAAAGTATGGATTATTTACAAATATAAAATGTTTTGGGGGATATTTTTAAAAGTTGATTTTAGAGAGAGAAAGGGAAATAGAGAGGAACATTCATGTGAGAGAAACATCCATCGGCTGCCTGCCACCTGACCACGACTGGGGATTTAACCCGTAGCCCAGGTATGTGTCCAACCAGCTATCTTTCGTGGGTGCACAGGATGAGGCTCCAAACAACGGAGCCACATTAGCCAGGGCAATGTTTTTTATTTCCTTTTTTTTAATATATATATATATATATATATATATATATATATATATCTTTTTTATTGATTTCAGAGAGGGAGAGGGAGATAGAAACATCAATGATGAGAGAGAATCATTGATTGGCTGCCTTCTGCACACCCCACCCTGGGGATCAAGCTCGCACCCAGGCATGTGTCCTCATCGGGAATTGAACTGAGACCTCCTGGTTTATAGGTTGATGCTCAATCAACCACAGAGCAATGCCAGCTGGGCTCATTTTTTAATTCAGAAAATTATTCATCAGTGTATTCTTGATACCGCTCATGTATTCAGATTATGGTTCAATATACAAAATTGAGAAACTCCTTAGGAACACATCTACTGCAAAAAATACATGTTTCCTTTTCTTGGTGTCTTTCATACGTTTTATAAAGTTTTTTAAAAATATATTTCATTGATTTTTTTTTTTTTACAAAGAGGAAGGGAGAGGGATAGAAAGAAACAGCGATGAGAGAGAAACATCAATCAGCTTCCTCTTGCATACCTCCTATTGGGGATATACCAGCAACCAAGGTACATGCCCTTGACTGAAATCGAACCTGGACTTTTCAGTCCACAGGCCTACGCTCTATCCCCTGAGCAAAACCGGTTAGGGCACCATACATTTTATATTTGCTGGTAGCTTACTCCATTATCCATTCTGTCCTTCTTTCTTAGTAATGTGGGATTCAGAAGGAATATATCTACTGAGAAGGACTCCTTGCAATTAATTGGGCTCACATTCATAATCAGAGTCTAGGAGTTATTGCTTATAGAAGCTAGCACACATACTGCACATTAGGGAAAAGCCACAGACCACAGACTGAGCCGCCAAGTCTCCTCCTGCAGTCTGAGCCTATGCTTACAAAGGAGTTCCTGGAATCATATTTTGACCAGTGAGCTGAGACCTGCCCTGCCCAATTGGAGCTGTGCAGCTATATCCTCATTTGGATCTTTAACAACCGACCAGAGAGGCTCCATAATAACCAATCTGTATGTACAGTCCTGGCCAATGAGAACAGTGCTAGTTGGGCCAATCACACTGTGCAAATTTAGATCCCTCATTTGCATAAAAGCGAACCAACTGGGACTAGGACTGGCTTTCCCTTTGCTTTGGCGGGGAGCACTTTCAGTTTCCACCAGAACCTGCATTTCCTTAGCTTACAAATTGTTCATCTACATAAAGTTTCTCCTCTTTCTGCACCCCAGGTTGGGAATTCCTGTTGGCATTCCATTGGCGACAGTGACCTTTCGTTGATAGTAATAACACCTGAATTTATTCTGAGTCTACGGCCATACCACCCTGAACGCGCCTGGTCTCATCTGAATTTATTCTGAGAAACAACAACATACCCTACAAAATGCCCAAATAACCCAGCTCCCTTGCACCTAGGTGTGGGCCAGTGATGTGTTAACTCTGGGCCAATGAGCTATAAGCAGAATTTTGTGGGGGGCTTCTAAGGTGAAGTCTTAAAGAGAACAATGGGTCCTGCTTCTCATTTTCCTCAAACTTGTTGCCTAGAATGTGGAGGTAATGACTGGCGCTCAAGCAGCCGTCTTGGGCATGAGGTGAAAGCCACTGAAGACGGCAGAGCAGAAAGGTATCTGGTGAAATCATGGCGCCACCATATCAGCCTGGACTGCCTACCTCTGAGCCTCTTTTGGATGAGAGAGAAACAAACTTTTCTTTTGCTAATGACACTTGTTTGGTGTGTGTGTGTGTGTGTGTGTGTGTGTATATGTGTGTGCGTGTGTGTGTGTGTGTGTGTGTGTTTTGTGTGTGTGTGTGTGTGTGTGTGATATGTCGTCAAATCTATTCCTAATATACTCTATTCTCAAATAAAATAATCCTTGTAATTCTGTTCTAGCTAAAAGTAGCAAATATTAACAAAATTTCTTTAGGCATTAGTGTAATTGCATTTTTTATTCCTTCTGGTTTGCAGTTAATATTGCCTTTAAGAGTTTAACATGACTTTTATATTATTGACTATTTCCATTTTTTTCTTTAGCGCATTTGTTGGACTTCAAATTTTAATGATCTCTTCATAAATGTTTCAAATCTACCTTGGAAAGCACCGCCTAAAGCTAGCTAAGCCAATTAACTTTAAGTTGGCACTAAATTTCTTCTTTTCTCCATTCTTCTTACTGGGATAAAACAGTGCAGTTTAATATGCATCCAGGGACCATCTGCCTTATTTACGGTTTGGTTATAGTTTCCTCATTTTATCTGTCCTTTCCCAGATTCATCATGATTATCAAACTCTTGGAATCACCGTCCCCACGCGGGAGTCCATTCTGTGGGACTCTTCCCTCTCCCCACGTGGGAGTCTGTACTTGTTCTCCAATAAATCTCCACCTTTGCTATACCAAATAAATGAGCGTCCCAAGCAAGTCATACTTGCCTGGCTGGCCCGCTGGTAGGCCATATGCCTGGTTCACTTGCCACCAAAAAGGTTTTGGTTCCATTCCCCTTGAGGATACATACTTAGGTCTCCTGTTTGATTCCTCGTTGGGGCGAGTATGGGTGGCAACCAATTGATGTTTCTTTCTCATATCAATGTCTATCTCTCTTCCTTTCCTCTCCCTCTCTCTCTCTCTCTCTCTCTCCAATCAATAAAAACATATCCTGGGGTGAAGATTTTTTTTAAAAATCTTGGAATCTGTTCTGCCTTGCAAAATAGAGACACCTGTATCCTCGTCTATATGAACCTTCTTTAGGTGATATGCATCAATTTGAACTTCATGTGGAAGCGAATTTCACAGTTATACATTTATTGTTTTTTATTTATTTATTATTTATTTATGTATTCATTCATCCATTCATTCATTTATTTGGTATAGCAAAGCTGGAGATTTATTGGAGAACAAGTACAGACTCCCACGTGGGGAGGGGGAAAGGGTCCCTGTTTTTTATTTATTTTTTATTGCTGACAATATTGCTGACAATATGTCCCTCACTTCCCCACCACCACTTCAGCTTGCCCCCCTCCAGCATGTCTCCACTCCACCCCAGCAGTCACACATTTATATGGCTCCTTGAAGCCACAACATGACTTGTTCTCATCAATTGTACTTTGAGAGCAGGCCCAGAGTCAGCTGAAGTTCAAACAGCTTGTCTGAATTTTCCCCACCGGGGTCCCGTTCTTCCCAGGGATTTGCAGCTGAAATTCCAGATTGAAATGTGGACTACCCCTACAACATCCTCTTGAAAACCCAATTTTCAAGAGGAAGAGTCTTAACCTGTCTTTTTAAGAACAAAAATAAGAAATAATTTTTTTTTAAAGTCTGTGGAAATAAAACTTGAGTATTTGGATAAAGCAATATAAATACTAGCTAATATGCTGATTTTGCCATCAGTCATAGGGATAAACTGTACCTTTCCACTTGTGTGCAGCTCTAAGGAATGTAGTTAGTGTGGTTGCTTTTCTTGAAAACTTTAGATGACTACCTTCTCCTATTATTGAGCAAACTCTTCAGCTAGTCATTGTGCAAGTATTTCCTTGGCATCAAGTAGCTTACATTTTATTCAGCTACACTTGAGGGCACTTGTCCCTATTAATGGGACCACTTCAGCTAATTACTTTTCTCTTTCTTCTTCTCCTTTTTTACATACATAATAATTGGAGCCTAAAGGGCTCAATTTTATTACTCTTTGAAAAAAAGAGCATCCTTGATTCTTTTACTCCTTCGCTTTTATTCCTTCGCTCTAGTACATTTTGAATTGTTTAAATACCAATAGGCAAGTCCATTTTATTTTCCCTGGGAAAGCATTTTCAATTCCAAAAGAGAAATAAAGGTAAAATGAAACTATTTTCTTAGGGGGAAAAAAAATCTCCAATCAAGAAAGAGCAAGATTAAATGGAAGGCGTCACTCACCCTCTTATAAAGGACTACATTGAAATGAAAACATGAGAAAACATTTCCAAATGCCCTCGGTTGTATTATATTTTTAAAGGCCTGGGTAATATCCTGCAAAATATTTTTTGTTTTGTTTAAAATGTCAACCAGGCATTGGTATTAAAAAAAAAAAAATCAAACTATGCTGTCTTATTAGGGGCATCTTTATCTCATAATGTGACAAAGCAAGGAGAAAAGGAACTCTATCTCAGTAAGCCTTTTGACAGCCGGCCACACCAGCCCTTGCAATGAGATGTCCGGCCTTTAATACACTTGCAAAACCAAGTTCAGTGTCACATTGAGAAATACGATGGGCTAGAGAGCTTGTTTACTCGATGACTTCCCCAACGGCTGCAGGCATTTGAACTTGGCGCAGTGGACGTGTCGGGAGGCTGGGGCTCTTTCTAGGGACTCAACTATAGAGCTCATTTAGGATCACTGCTGCCGTGTTATAGACCTCTCAGGGCCCTGACGTTATCATGGAGCTTTTATGGGGAAGGCAGAAATGCAAGGGTTCAGCGTAGAACAGGGCTGGGGACTGTCTGGCCTGCTTAAGAGCCATCAAATCATTTGGTCTGGCCCTACCAAGGCATTAGTGGTGAGTTCATCAAATGTTTGACCAAATATAGCAGGCTCATTTTTAAGCGGATAATTTTGTATGGCCTGTGAATGATGTGATAAATATCCAAATGGCCCTTGGCTGAAAAAAAAAAGGTTCCCCCCCCTTGGTGTAGAGGGTTCTCAGCAACGGAAGAATGATTCTTGTTGGGAAAATGGCTTGAATGCTGAAGAATGCGCCAACCAGAAGGCAGAGGCGCTCACGGCGAAAGTCCTCTCTCCAGGCCCGGGGAGTTGAGCAGCCTCGTTTAGAGTCAGCAGATGGTTGGAACTTAAAGTGAAAAATGTACCCAGAGCAGACCACTTACCATTTCTGGATTCTCCGCAGCTAGCTTTACCATCTTTTCTGAGATCATTTTTTTCAAGCAGCTACTCAGCAGAAAAGCCTAAGAAATCCAGAGAGAAAGGAGTCTCTCAGTGAACGAGATCTTTCTCCTCTTCCTCCCTCCTCACACCACTGGGCAGGTTTTGAGCTCTGCCCTTCAATAGTGGGAATTTATATTTCCTCCTTAACTTCCATGAATTTGCATAAGATGTAATGAACATGTAACAAAACCTTTTCTCCATATGTGGATATATTTAGAGTACACATTTTAAAAGACAGGCGAAAAATGTCCAGGATCTCATTACTAATCATTACTAATCATTTTCCCTCTTAAAACTTACCTCTCACATCCTGCCCTCCCCTCCCCCCATTACTTTGTAAGCATCTCCTGTTTTTACAATCAACAAATAGTTAAAAACTACTTTTTATTGTAACTGAATGAGCTGAAGTGGGGTGATCGTTAACTGTATGCATAGTAGGAGGCATAAATAGTAGCCTGTCTCTTCGAAAGAATACCTTAACACCTTATGGCTTTTACTGAACTGGAGAAAAAAAAAATGAGTTGTTTTTCTTCACTTTCTTATTTTTCTGGTATCCTTCATTATTCACTTTCAACACGGACAGCTGTCCCCGATATCACCTGGGGCTTTGCTGATGGTTTATCGTGATTAGTCTAAGACGCACGTTGCATAGCGTGTCGCGCAAAAGCCAGGGTTTCCTGGTTACAGGATCGGTCCTCACCCCCATTTGCCGAATGCAAGATTCCCAGTGATTTTCCCACTTCTCCATTCCCACTGATCTTCTTTCTCTCTTGTTCTGCTCTCCGTTCTCTGCTTGCTCTCTTTTCTTTTGGCCCCACCCAGGTCTGAGACAGGTGAAGCCCCAAGCGTGAGGTTTAGGACCTTAGTATAAGCTTGTGCTCAAGGAGGGTCACTTTACTTAGGGTGTGTGTAGGGGGGCGGGGGGAGGATGATAGAAAGGAGGAAAGAGGAAGAAAACTCTGGTTAGGGTAGCAGCCCCTGTAGAAAGCTCTGGGAGGATAGTTCACAGAAATACTTAGAAGGAGAATGGGCTACTTAGAGGGAACAACCCAAAGTCTTGCAGGACTGTGGAGCATGATGGGAATTCATTTGATTTTAAAGGGAGAGAACTGTGGGAAGAGGGAAGAAGGGCACTGACACTCATAAGAAAACCACTCCTGGTTTGGTGAGGACTAACCCTGTGTATATGTGCACATAGGTAACCTACACAAAATCAGGGTATGGAATAGCTCAACAATACCCCCTCCCATCCTCCAGCTGATGCAGCCGGGAAGGATGCTTAACAGAGTCCCACAGGTCCGGACTGATTCCATGTTACTATACAATGTGCATCGATATGCATGTTAGGATTCCGCAATCCACCAGGTAAGTTTATTACCTATCAAGGGGCTGAGCTTTTGTTGAAAGACCTAAAGGAGGTTTGAACCGAAACCCTTGCTTGTACGATAGTTGGTTACAGGTGAGGCCCACGAGCCACATTTCTGCCTTCTGCAAAAGCAGTCCCTCAGCGCACATCCATACACCCACACTCCAATGGAAATAAAACCTCGCTAGGAGTCCTTTAAATGGTTATTGCCCCTCTCTGTGGTGGCTTAACCTCATTTGCTACAGCCTAGATTAAAAGGCCATAAAGATATTTAACAATTGCACTTAGCATTCTAGGTGAGGAAGGATGGTTTCCCTACCCAAATCTCTCTGTCCCTCCAAGTGACTGCAAACCTTGCCTTGGCAAACACCCTGTCTTTCCCCTCAGAGTGTTTCGTATTTTTGAGTAGTTCCAACAGAGGCCAAAGGAACCTCAAAACCTAAAATATTGGTCCCTTGAGAAAAAGCTCACTGATCCCTGCTTTAAGCCACTGTGAGTCAGGGGCGAGGCACATCTAGTCTGCAGACCGACTGGCCCTGCCAAGGCGTTGGAGGTAAGTTAATTAGATGTGTAACCAAATATAGCAGGCTAGTTTTTAAGTGGATCCTTTTGTATGGCCCGTGAATAACGTTATAAATAGCCCAATGGCCCTTGGCAGGAAAAAGGTTCCCCACCCCTGCATGGCAACTCAATTCATTTCGAATGGGATACAAAGGCTGTGGTGACTAGCAAAAGAAAACAAAATTAAAAATAAATAAAAATAAAAGAGTGCCACAGCCCTAAGAGAGAGGGCACAGCATACTCTGATAATTAGCGAGGCTTAGGGTGATGTGTTGCGTCCACCCCAACATGCAAGAGGGCATCTCAGCACACGTTTCACGTGCCTCCCCGAGAACTCACCTGTTTGGTGTAAAGGACAAACCACTGCCAGCGACTGCCCTCGCTGTACTGGAATCGAAGCTCCAGGTTCTGGTTGAGGGTTCGCTGGGGCCCATCCATATCCAGCAGAGTCCCCTACGGAGGAAAAGACATTATTTGATACGAGAGGCCCGGTGCATGAAATTCGTGCACTCGGGGTGGGGGTTCCCCTCAGCCTAGACTGCACCCTCTCACAGTCTGGGAGCCCTCAGGGGATGTCTGACTGATGGCTTAGGCCTGCTCCCTTAGAGCTGCTGCGGAGGCAGGAGAGGCTTCCACCACTGCTGCTGTGCTAGCCAGCCATGAGCCCCAGAAGGCTGAGTAGTACTCCCCCTGTGGGAGCACACTGACCACCAGGGGGCAGCTCCTGTGTTGAGCATCTGCCCCCTGATGGTCAGTGCATGTCATAGCGACAGGTTGTTCTGCTATTTGGTCGATTTTGCATATTACCCTTTAATTATATAGGATTTGATAGAAGTTGAAGTGGCACAGGCTGCAAGGCATGTGGGGGTGAGAGAATAGGCTTAGAGAGGAAGGTGAGGGCAGGTCCTGAAAGCCCGGTACAGCCTCATTTATTATTATTCTCCCTGGTTTTTGCTCTACAGCATCCATCCTTCTTTCTCCTAGTGATGGAGTCTCATATTCCCTTGGGAAAGCCATCTCTCCTCCACTATGGCTATGTGGGTAGGATCCTCAAGGAATGCTGCCTCCCTGAAGGGTGTCACATGACCCAAACTCAGTCCACTTGAACAAACACTCCTTGTACCCCTTATTTAGTTCCACAACAGAGAGACCCAAGGAGGAGGTCCTGACGAGAAATCCTTAGAAACCCTGAGCTCCTGTGGCTCCTGACTCTCCTAAGCCTCTGTTTCCACCTTTCCTTTAAGTCAGCGGGTTCCTCATATCCCTCCAATAAACCCCTTTTCCCCTAGAGCCACAGTGTTGTTTTCTGTTGCTTGCCACCCAACAACCCTAAATGTTACAGGTTTTATAAGCTAAACTAAGGAGTCTAGACTTGATCTTCAGGGCAATAGGCACTTACTAAAAAGATTTTAAAAGCTACATAATAACACAATTATATTTCTATTTTAGAAATATTGGTCTGACAGCATCCATGTAAAAACTGAACTTGGAAACAGCTGTTTTCTGACACTGAATGGCAGGTAATATAGAACTGTTCATGTTGAGTGAGGGAGAATAATAACAAGTGAGGTGAGCTCTACAATTACCCCGCCTACTACTGAAGGACTTTCCAGGACGCGCGGCACAAGGAGGGGAACCCAAACAGAGCCCAGAGGTCATGCTGAGTTGAGGAGGAGAGAAAAACACATGAAGAAGTCCAGGTTAGCATTTGTGGAGCAGACGACCAAACACGAGGGCTTTTATACAAAGAAAAAGCTCCAGAGAGCTCGTGTCAAATCCTTGGCTGAATAATGAGAATGTGCATGTGTGGGGTGTACAGATGTTCATGCACATCTGTGCATGTGAGGCTGGGGAGAGAGCCACTGAAAAGCTGTAGGTTGAACAAATCCAGGAACTCACAAATTTGGGGCTGGACGTGGGTTTGTGTTTCTGTCGACCACAGCAGAGAGACCATCATGAACAAAACATTGGGAGAGTCGAAGAATGCCAGCTAATGAGTGACAGCTAATGAGTAAAGGATTAAATTAGCTCTCAAGACTGTTCTTGACCTGCCTAAAGAGAGCTTAAAAACAAGCCTATCATGAATTAATTTAAAAGCCAATCCCAAGGAACTTAATTGCATGCCAGCACAAAGTCTAATTACTCTTTAAAGGAATACCACAAAATCCAGCATTCAACAATGCAAATTCACAGTGTTCACACACAAAAAAAATTACCTGGCTTGCAAAATAGGAGAAAGTGTGCCCTGCAAACAGGAGAAAAATAAATCAGTAGAAACAGACTCAGAAATTACAGAAATAATGGGATTAGTAGACAACAATATTAAAACAGTTACTTTGACTATATTTCACACACTCAAGCATTTAGAGAAAAACATAGAATGACAAGAAAAAAATGGAGATGTGAAAAGGGACCTATATGGAACTTTTAGCGATGAAAAATACAATAATAGAAATAAAACATCAATAACCTTAAAACCATAGCCACAGAAGCTACTGAAAATGAAGCACAGAAAGAACAAAGACTGAACTAAAATCATAGTGAGATACCACTGTACATACATTAGGCTGCTGATGATTTTAAAAACCAGACAATAGCCGAAACCGGTTTGGCTCAGTGGATAGAGCGTCGGCCTGCATACTGAAAGGTCCCAGGTTTGATTCCAGTCAAGGGCATGTACGTTGGTTGCTGGCACATCCTCAATGGGGGGGTGTGCAGGAGGCAGCTGATAGATGTTTCCCTCTCATCAATGTTTCTGACTCTCTATCCCTCTGTAAAAAATCAACTATATATATATATATATATATATATATATATATATATAGAGAGAGAGAGAGAGAGAGAGAGAGAGAGAGAGAGAGAACAAAAAAGAACTACAGAGAAAGTATTTGTAAACCACATATATCCAACAAAGGAATAATAGCTAGAATTTATTTATTTATTTATTTTTTAATATATTTTATTGATTTTGTACAGAGAGGAAGGGAGAGAGATACAGAGTTAGAAACATCAACGAGAGAGAGTCATCGATCAGCTGCCTCTTGCACACGCCCCTACTGGGGATATGCCCGCAACCAAGGTACATGCCCTTGACCGGAATCGAACCCGGGACCTTTCAGTCCCCAAGCCGACACTTTATCCATTGAGCCAAACCGGTTTCAGCAATAGCTAGAATTTATTAAGTGCTCTCAAAATTCAACAGTAAAACAATCCTATATAATAAAGGCCGAACATGCTAAGTGTCAGGTCATCTGGTTGGTTGTTCAACCAATCAAAGCATAATATGCTAATGATATGCTAAGACCACTCAACCAATTGCTACCCTGTGCACTGACCACCAGGGGGCAGACACTCTGACTCTTCGACTGGTAGGTTAGCTTGCTGCTGGGGTCTCCTGCTGATCAGGACTGAGCAAGATGGGCTGGACACACCCTGGAGCCCTCCCAAGGTCCCTCCCCAGCTGGCCAATCTCCTGCATCACTCCCTGGCCCTGATTATGTACCGGTGGGGTCCTTTGGCCTGGCCTGCACCCTCTTGCAATACAGGACCCCTCGGGGGGATGTCAGAGAGCAGGTTTTGGCCTCATCCTGCAGGCCAGGCCGAGGGACCTCACTGGTACACAGATTCATGCACCAGACCTCTAGTCCAATTAGAAAAATGTGGAAAAGATATGAAAAGAAGATAACACAGATGGCAAATAACCTCATGAAGAGATTTGCAACATCACTAACCTTGAGGGAAATGCAAATTGAAACCACAATGGAATACCATTACACACTTATCAGAGTAATTAAAATAAGCAACAGTGACAGTGCCAAATGTTGATGAGGATGCAGATAAACTACATTACTTACACATTGCTGGTGGGAATGTAAATTGGTACAACCAGCCACTCTTGAAAACAATTTGGCACTTTCTTAAAGAAACTAAACTTGCAACTTCCATATGACGCAGCAATTGCACTCCTGGGCATTTATATGAGAGAAATAAAGACTTGTGATCAGACAATAACCTGTTACGGGAATATTTATAGGAGCTTTATCATAGCAGCTAAAAACTGGAAACAACCAAAACCTTTCATTGGGTGAATGGCCAACCAAATTTTAGCCATTTCATACCATGCGCTACTATTCAGCAATAAAAAGAAACAAACTACTGATATAACCCAACAATCTGGGTGAATTTCCAAAGAATTATGCCGAGTAAAGAAAATCCAGTCCCAAAAGGCTACATACTGCAGGATTCCATTCATCTAACATTCTTAGCTTTATATACATTTTTTACCTTCTAAGAATAGTCAATGTCTATTATTCATAGGAGCTATGTTCTATAAAGTCGCTGAATCATACAGAGCCCCAGAGGAAAGATAGGTTTAGGTTTCATCGACTGATCAAATACATAGCCTCTTTTTTTTTTTAATATATTTTATTGATTTTTTTACAGAGAGGAAGAGAGAGGGATATAGTCAGAAACATCGATGAGAGAGAATCATCGATCAGCTGCCTCCTGGACCCGCCCCCCCCCCCCACCAGGGATGTGCCCACAACCAAGGTACATGCCCTTGACCGAATTGAACCCGGGACCCTTCAGTCCGCAGGCCGATGCTCTATCCACTGAGCCAAACCGGTTTCGACTACATAGCCTCTTTTTATGTGCATTTTAAAAAAAAAAAAACAGTTTATTGATGCATAATATGCAAATGCTGCATATATATATATATATATATATATATATATATATATATATATTTTGTTGATCTTTTACAGAGAGGAATAGAGAGTTAGAAACATGGATGAGAGAGAATCATCGATCAGCTGCCTCTTGCACACTCCCTACTGGGGATGTGCCCGCAACCAAGGTACATGCTCTTGACCGGAATCGAACCTGGGACCTTTCAGTCCACAGACCGACACTCTATCCACTGAGCCAAACCGGTTTCGGCCACTGCACATATTTAATGTATACACTTGGATGAGTTTGGACACATGCGTACATCCATGAAACCACCCCCACCATCAAGGTAATAAATACATCCATCACCTCCAAAAGTTTCATGCCATGTTCTTGAAATGACACGCTACGGAAATGGCAAACAGATTAGTGGTTGCCAGGGGTTAAGGAAGATATAACTATAATATAAAAGACCACTCGAGGTAGTGATTCAAATGGCAGACCTGTCTCCATGTCAACGGTGTCATCCAGAAACAATAGGATTTGGCCCTAGCTGGTTTGGCTCTGTTGGGTAGCGTGCTGGCCTGGGGACTGAGGGGTCCTGGGTTCAATTCCCGTTAAGGGCACACACCTCTAGCCCAGGACGCATGCGGGAGACAACCCATCAATGTGTCTCTCTCATATCAATGCTTCTCTGTCTCTGTCTCTACCCCCGCCCCCCCTTCCATTCTTTCTCTAAAAATCAATGGAAAATGTCATCGGGTAAGGATTAACAATACATATATATGGATATGTATCAATAGGGTCTTCAGTCATGAGTAGACACGTTAAGTCATGGGTGAGGCAGTGCCAGATACTCACCAGGAAGGTGACCTGCCAGCACTTCACTCTGCTCAGCTGGAAGACAACCTGCTGGGTCTGACTGTCGGGCAGGGTGACGCAGCAGCTGATCTCGTTGTTGCCAACGGAGAGCACAGCCCCGCAGCCCGGCTCCGGGTAGTCACAGGTACACGGGTCCAGCTGCACGTAGCCATAGTGCCGCACCTCCCGGGCCAGCTCCAGAAACTGCTCCAGAGGGAGGTGTGGGGAGGGAGGAGGAAGAACAGGCTACGTGAAACAGAGGCAAACCTCATGTGAGAAGCAGCTGCCGCCCTAGTAGGCCATGTGCCACCGAGGGGCGGGAGGGTGCCTTTTTCTTCTGCACCATCGGGAGGAAGGCAATGCCCCGTGTGCTCGCCGACAGCGAGGCCGGGGAAGGTCATGGGTGCATTCTGCCAGGGCAGGGACCACTTCTGCCTCATCTACCATGTGCCCCTGCTCCCGTCACAGTGCTCAGAATCATCGATCAGCTGCCTCCTGGACCCCCCACCCCACCACCAGGGATGTGCCCACAACCAAGGTACATGCCCTTGACTGGAATCGAACCCGGGACCCTTCAGTCCACAGGCCGACGCTCTATCCACTGAGCCAAACCGGTTTTGGCTACATAGCCTCTTTTTATGTGCAGTTTTCTTAAAAACAGTTTATTGATGCATAATATGCTGCATATATATATATATATATATATATATATATATATACACACACACACACACAGAGGAATAGAGAGTTAGAAACATGGATGAGAGAGAATCATCAAGAGTGGGAATGAAAATGTTCGATGGCTGAATAGCGAATGAGGAAGAGAGACTCGACTGAGAAGATAGAATTCCATCTCAGTAAAATAAGCAAAAAGTGTACATTTAAAATGTCATCTTTTTTAGGGTGGGCTAGAAGGGGTCGAGGGTCGGGGGAGGATATATGTAATACTTTCAACAATAAAGATTTAGCCCCACTGGTGTGGCTCAGCAGTTGAGCATCAGTCCAGGCAGCAAGAAGTCACTGGTTTGATTCCCAGTCAGGCCACATGCCTGGGTTTTGGGCTCCATCCCCAATAGGGGGTGTGCAGGAGGTAGCCGATCCCTGTTACTCTCTCATCAATGTTTCTATCTCTCTGGTCCTTTCCCTCCCTCTCTCTAAAATCGATAAAAATGTATATATATTTTTTTAAATGTTGAGGGTCTATATTAATTAACTTGATAAAGGACTCACCGTTTATTATCTGTATTTTTCAAAATCTTTAAACAAAAAGCCTTTATTAATTTTATAATCATAAAAACCAATAAAAGTGTTCTCATGCCCTAACCAGTTTGGCTCCGTAGATAGAGCATCGGCCTGCGGACTGAAGGGTCCCAGGTTTGATTCCGGTCAAGGGCATGTACTTTGGTTGCAGGCACGTCCCCAGTAGGGGGCGTGCAGGAGGCAGCTGATCGATGTTTCTCTCATCGATGTTTCTAACTCTCTATCCCTCTCCCTTCCTCTCTGTAAAAAAAATCAATAAAATATATTTCAAAAATAAAAATGAAATGAACGTGTTCTTGTTGTGTAAGACTGTGTTCAGTACTCGGTGGGTCTATCAATTATAGAAACAGCCCCACTCCACTAGGTTTCTTTACGTCCCTCCCAGGGGGCTCCTTTGGTGCCACATTTGACCCACCTCTGCTTGCTTGTCTTCCGCCTGGAGAGCCTCTAGTTTCTGCCTCTGGGCCGGAGTGGGTTTGGCCCATCCTCTCTGGATGTCCTGGATGGCCTTAACACAACATAAGTCGCAAAATTAGCAAACTTAGAAGAAATGAAGAAATAAATTCATCCGACAAGAACATACTCACGGATGAAAGTTTAGAAAAACAGACCCAAACTATACCCTGTATGTTTTAAAGGTTACTTTTTAAATTAGTAGAAAGAGGTGGTTCAGTGGTTTGGGGACAACTGGCCACACTTGGAAAAGAAAGTCAAGTTAGCTCTTTCCCCACACCACTCTGCAAATAATCCAGGTATGTTAAAGATCTAAGTGTAAAGGGGAACGGGGGGAGAGGGGGAATAAAGGTGACTATTTTCTATCTGATCTTGAGGTAGGAGATAGCTTTTTAAGATACAAAGACAAAATGTCATAATGAAGAAATATATCATACGTGAAAATATAAAACTTCTGCCTATAAAAACCCCATAAAAAAAAAACCAACAAGAAAATGTCAAACCAGGGAAAATGAATGTACCATATGAGGCAAAGAATTAATATGATTTAGAGAGAGTTATAGAACAATGCAAACAAACCTCCTTAGTAGGAAAATGGACAGAGAATATGGATCAGCAATCTACAGAATGACAAATGACAAATATATATTTAACCTCACTAGTAATAAAATAATTTTTTTTGCCTCTCAACTTGGCAAAGACCAAACTATATGTAATATTCAGGGTTGACAAGGGTTAGGGGAAACGGTTAAAGAAAAGCTACAGAGTGTACCAGCTAATAATCACACAGCGTAAGCGTCGCCTGCAGTAAGTATTGTTAAATTCCCTTTCTATACCTTGAGTTTTTAGCAAAGGCCAGCATAGGAGGACCCTAATTAAGTTAATAACAATGTACCTACCTATACAGTTTAAGTTTAAAAAATTTGGCTCTCAAAAGAAATTTCAATCTTTTGTTGTACTGTTGATATTTGGCTCTGTTGACTAATGAGTTTGCCGACCACTGGGCTAGAATAATGAGTGTCAGTTGCAAATTCGGACCATGATGGTGGAAATGGATTCCGTTTCCCCTATAAAGTCTCTCACCACCACCACCCTCCTCCGTGGTAAAATACACATAACACTTTTCACGTGAACCACTTGCAAATGTACGATCCAGAGACACTAAGACATCCACAGTGCTGTGTCAGCATCACGACTCTCTACACCTAAAATGTCTTCATCAAACCCTAGCAAAAATCCTGTACCCTCAAGCAGTAACTGCTCCTCTCCCATCCCCAGCCCTGTTCTACTTCCTGTCGTTGTGAATTTGCCTATTCTAGGTAGAGAGGTAGAATTCTTCTCCACAATTTTTTTCCTAATGGTTTAAACCCAAAGGGCCTATCCGACATGGTGTTCTGATGGCTCCTGGTTGCCCTCACCTGCAGGTAGATCAGATTCACCGCCGCTCTGCAGTCCATCAGCATGGAGTCGAGGGATGGGTCCATGTACCTGCATGGATCAGGAGCATTAAGTTAATTCACAGGACACGGCTCACGGGCCTGTGGCCTGAAGGGTGCCTGCATGCTCTCCGCAGCGATGGCCCTCTTCCTTCTGAACCAAGGCCCCTTTTCTGGCAAAGCCCCACCCTCTCTCTACTTGCCTGGCCTTTAGTTTCTCCCTCCACCTCTTCGGTCCCCCGTTTTCTCTATTCTGTAAGCTCTTGCCTGGTGGGCACTGAGAGCGAAGGTGCAAAAATATAAAACCTCAGGGAATGGGGCGTGTCCCTGTTCATATGCAGCCCCACTGTGGGTCGCCAAGTCCTTTGTGGATGTTCTCCACCCCAGTGCGCTCACTTGCTGGTACCCACACCCATATGACTCTCGGTGCCCAGGTCACCTCCTCTCTTGCCTGAGCTGCTCTGGTAACCTCCTCCCCAGACCTTCTGCCTCAGTGGTATTCCCTCATCTCACGCTCCACATTCTAACAGGAGGGGTCTCTCCTGGGTAACCTTTCAGACCCTCCTGCCAGAAGTCAAGCCATCTGTCCCCCCTGCTCCCCTCCAAGGCTCTCCATAGCACACCTGCTTTCACTTCCAGCTCCAGCTCTTACCCCACTCCCCTCCCCGACCCTCTCCAGCCCAACCACCTTTTCACTCCTCTCCTTCTGCCTGGACCTCGATCCCTGACCTGTCTCACTAACCTCCATCCCTGACCTGTCTCACTAACCTCCATCCCTGACCTGTCTGCTCCTCCTGGTGAGCCTCACCCTCAGTCCCCTCCTCTGCGCTTTCTCAGCACCCCACGTTCACCCTGAGCACTGCTCTGATCAAACTGATCTTGATGCCAAGTGTGAGGACCCTTGAGCCCAGGGGCTGGGTCCTCTTCAGGGTTGCCCCTTTGGGCCTTGGCAAAGTGAGTTGCAAATAGTAGGGCTCCATGTCTGATTAACGGATCCAGTGTCAGGAGGATGAACGGAAATGACCATCACTGTATAAGCACAGTCGCATGCTAAGAATCGACAGAAAGTCAGAAAAGGGTGAAGGCAGAGGTGAGCAGAACCACTCAGATATGTAGGGTGAACAGACAGTGGAATTGGCTTAGACTAGGAAAAGGATGGCAATCCTCATTGAAGATCAACTTCCTTCTGGGCCGTCGGACAAGCAGCTGAAGCATTCCTACTTACAAGCTACTATCTCACTCATGCCTCCCGAGGGCAACTGTTACATCAGAGTTAGAGAGCCCCAGACCCTTCCCAAATTGGTGCTCAGAGAGGCCAGGGTGGGCATCCTCTGGTCTGGAAGGGAACCTATCCCCCTTAGAGAGGTGCACAGGAATTCATGGGCAGAGGAAAAATCCCTAAGACTCCGGTGATTGCTGAGAATCCCACAGTTCGTGGCCATGGAGCTTGCCTCCCTGCCCCCATCCTACAAGACTTCACCCCCAAGTGGACAGGCACCTGCAGGGTCCTGTGCCAGGCTCCCCCCTACTGGTCACCTGACCCTCACCTCTGACAGCTGAAATGAGACCTTCTCTCCTCCCAGTTCCCATGAGCAAAGGCAATCTGCCTGGATATGAGATGCTGGCTTGTAGGTAGACATTTTATCTTGTACTTAGGATTGAGTATTTACCAGTGTCATGGAGACATAGGCAAAGCTCAGTGTTCTATTCAAGCTTCAAAGTGAGAAACAGAATCCTCATCTCTCCTCTGATCTCATGCTCTCTGAAGAGCTCATGAGCCACAAGTCTAAGCCCCAGGGACTGCGGTGGTGGTAGTTGTTGTTATCATCATTATTATCCTCAAGATAACAATAATAAACAAGGCCAAAATGTATTGAGCATATGGGATCATTTTACTTAACCCTCACAATAATCCTGTGAGGTAGGCTCTCTTGTTATTATCCCCATTTTACAGATAGAGAAACCGAGTCTTAGAGAGCTTAAATAATCTGGCTAAATCCTGAGAGAGTTGAGACTTAGATTCCCATATTGTGACCCCAGGAACAACTGTGCTCAGCCTCTCATTATACTAAGCAGCTTCCAGAAGAACAGCTACTCTATAGACCCTTAGATAGAACTGCTAAGAGTTTTTCCTTTTCTCTTCTCAGTGTTCCAGATCTTGACTGTTTCTCAGAATACTTTTGAATAACCGTAAATGAACTTCTAGCCTTGCTTGGAATATGTTTCCAAAATTCAAAACCGCAGACCAGAGTTCTCACAGGGCATCACAAGGTCAAGATAACGGCTATTCCTAGATTTCAAAATGCCTTTCTTTTAAGCTTCTGTGCTCAGATTACAGAATAACTGAGCTGGGAGCGAGTGAGCCAAAGATGCAATCCTATACAGCCATGGTAATGACTACAGGTTATAGGTTATGTGAGGAGGTGGGTGAGGGGAGCGTCCTGCTTCTTTTTCTTTTCTTTTTTTCTGTTTGTTCACTCTCTGTAGGGCCCTCTGTTTCTGGGAGAAATGGTAGTATTTTCTGCCAGGTGCCCTATTGATCTTAGGAATATGGCTGCTCCTTGTATAGATGCGCTTATTGTTGAAATCCTTTAGGAATGTAAGCCGACCACTTAGAGTTCAGATGCACTGCACATTGGCCGAGTCCACCCTTTGCCTGCAGGGAATACCACAGGTCAATAGATGAAGTGATCTGCTTGCCATCCTCAACAAATTCCTTCCATCAATACAGTCAGTAATTTCTCTCCATTACCTGTTTCAATCCCAACCCAATGGCCTTGTTCAAGCTTGACCTTCAAGGCCACCATCTCCATGATAATACCTCTCGAGTATTTACTTGAAACCAGTAAAAATCATCCTCCACACCCTTCCTGGAGGACAGATCGTCTAGTCATTCCCCTCTCTGTCTTCTTCACTGTTTTCCTCTTCACCTTCCCCAAGCTCCCTCCTGGTCTCTGACTAGCTGTTGGACTGTGAGGCGACAGGTGAGGATGGCCAGTTCTGATCAGCCGCGGTAGACAGCCTCGGACGCCCACCGTCACGATGCTTACTCACCACTTCCGGAGCCCGACCTTGCAGTCTTCCAGTTCGGAACTTCGGAGACTCACATAAGGGAGTTCAAAGTCCGCTACCTTTTTCATGACTAGAGAGAGAGGAAGAGGCATCTCATTGGTTAAGAGAGCACAGGTAGTTTGTTTTACGTCCAGGGCTTTAAAATGAGAACATAAAGCATTGCTACTGCAAAGAGTAAAGTATAATAATAATAAACATATTCTCTTGCATTGGTATGTAATTCTTAGCTTTCTAAAGTTAATTTAAAAAATAACATTTTATCTTCATAAAATACCAGCATCCTGAGTGAGCTGTATGATACACTGGGATGCAGATGGAGAAACTGCGGTCCAGAGCAGCCCGGTGCCTTGGCCGGCACACCACAATCCCAGCGGCCAAGCCAGCTCACAAAGCCCTTAACTTCACCTGCAAGCCACCCCCCCACAGCCTCTTGAGGACAAAAGTAAAAAACTCTGAGATAATCTACAGCATTTCACAGCTAAAAAACTTGCAGCATCTAGAAATGCACTGTAGAGAAAGCAAAAGCTATTATATGTGAATGGGACTGTCGTCTTTTACTCTCTTGTTATATCGTTTTTAAAAACCTAAGAACTTAGTTATGTCAACTGAACTTTTCAGCAAATATTCCTTAAGAAGGAGAAGTGATGGTGTGATGAGACGTCCCAATGTCTGGAGTCCTGTGCTCCAGTCAGAAGGGGGTTCCGGGGTGTCTTGAGGTCAGCACAGGGCGCATGGATGAAGCTGAGACAGACATCGGATTGGGACTGGGGCAGGCACAAGAGGAAGTGCAGTCACTGGAAAAGCCTGACTTCCTGCTCATGTCCATGCCACCTCTCTAGGACTACGTGACTCCAGCTCACCCTGAACACAGACACAGCCTCTTGCCCCCAAACTTTTGGAACTGACAGCTGACAGCCCTCCTACACCCCTGGGCCGAGCATCTGCCCATGTGGCATCCCCTCTGCCCTTACCAGAGAGCTTGCCCTCCTTGCAAAACCGAATGAGAAAGAGGCCGAAGTAGCCCAAGAGCTCTCGACACAGTCCAATTTTGTGCGACACCACCTTTAACCAAAGACAAAAAAAAGGGGTAGAAGTCAGGAGTGTCCACCATGTTTCCTGTGATGTGCAGAATTTGAAATTGCCTGTACACACAATAAAGAGCTCTGTAAAGGCTACAGTAGTGGTTCCAAACCGAGGCTCACGAGCCGCTCTGTTGACTAATGGGTTTGCCGACCAATGGGCTAGCAGACCTTAAAAGAAATATTTCCTGAACCTAGAATGGAATATACTTGCCCTAGCCCACTTGGCTCAGTGGATAGAGCATCAGCCTGCAAACCAAAGAGTCCCAGGTTCTATTCCGGCCAAGGGCACAGGCCTGGGATGCGGACCCTGACAGGGGGACAGTCAGCGAGTCCTCTCCTGGCCCTGAGATCCCAGGGCAAAAATTTGGGGCATAGAGTTTGAGGGGGGGAGGAAGGGCGTGTTAGGAGAGAGCTGGAATAATTTCCTAATAAACAGAGGGAGGACAGGCCCAGGGCAGAGCTGAGCATGGCCACTCTGGCGGAGGGGCCAGTGCTTTCTGGGTCTCAGCCCGGAGTCCTCAGCGAACCAGGACTCGGGGCTGGCTCAGAACCAGACCTGCTGTGCTGTTGGCTTCAGGGTTTCCATGGTGAGGGAGGAGGGACAACAGGTTTTGCCTTTGAGAAAACCCAAGTCACTCTCTCCCAGGACCTGTCGAAGCCCGCCTGGAGGGGCCTGTTCTGGGCCCCACTATCCTTTCTGTCCCCAGCCACCCCATAAGGACGCGCTTGGCGTGTTCCCAGGGCACATCCCCCAGCCGAGCGCCAGGGAACTGGCAGCTGGCGAGGGAAGGCCCTGGGAGACGCTGGGAAGTCGGTGCCCATGGGGAGGGTGAATGCAGAGGCCTGGAGGGCGCAGGCTGGAGCTCGGGTGCCCGGCCAGTCTCCCAGAAAAGCCCAGCATCTCTACAGGTCGATCACCCAGCGTGGAAGGGTAGGCAGGAAGCTTCCAGAAGGTGACCGTATCCTGGTCCCTGCCTTCAAACAACGCTCCCTGCCTCCCGTTTCTTCCGGGGCCTCAGTGCAGATGATATTTACCTCCAGAACCCTTTCGGCCGTGTCCGAGGTGAGGATCTCGACTTCGATGCTCCTCCCGTCGGGCAGAAATATGTCCAGGGCGGCTTTCTTGGCGGCGATGCTGAACGTGTCCTGCACACAGGGAAGGCACAGTCAGTGCTGGGACCCTCACAGGGGGACAGTCAGCAGCGTCCTCTCCCGGCCCTGAGGGCCACTCACATCCAGAGGCACACGAGATCCCAGGGCAGAAATTTGGGGCATGGAGTTTGGCGGGGGGCAGAGCAGGGGTTAGGAGGGGTCTGGAGGGGTTAGAGGTGCTGAGGCAATGCAATGGTATGGAGCTGGAATAATTTCCAAATAAACAACAAGGCATCCATTTTAGGGGGAAATCACCCACATGACCTTGGTGGGTTCAGGTTTTAACTCTCACTTTTAATATTTCCAAGCATCCGTGAAAGTCCATAGAGTGCAATAATGTATGATTCTGTTACAGCAAAAACCTGCGCGTGTGAGCTGAGGCCTGGATGTGGAAGCGAGCTGCCATCTGAGCATGGGCGCCCGCTGAGGGCAGGGCACCCGCTGAGAGCAGCGCCCCACGTTCATGATTCCCGAGGGCATGCGGGATGCCCGGGCGAAGTGCAGACCCGGGGCCTGTGCAGCCCCTGGATGGAGCACTCTAAAGTGTCAAGGACACACCAGGGACACCGAGGCCCTCGGGGTTTAGGGAAGTTGAGAGTGACTGGTGCTCAGTTTCTATATAGAGAGAGGCCCTGCGTGGAGGCATGGCCAGGGCTGCCCCGGCCCCACAGGGTGGCTGTACCCAGTGGGGCGCTGTTTCTCGCACCGCTCAGTGGATAGAGCATACGATCTCCGACTAAAAGTTCCAGGTTCTATTCCGGTCAAGGGCACATGCCTGGGTTGCAGGTTCCATCCCCAGTAGGGGGCATGCAGGAGGCAGCCGATCAATGAATCTCTCTCATCATTGATGTTTCTACCTCTCTCTCCCTATCCCTTCCTCTCTGAAATCAATAAAAATATGCGTATTTATTTTTAAAGAATTTAATGAGTTTATTTGAGCCAAACTTGTCAACATATGCCGGGAAGCAGAACCTCAATGAATTGAGATAATGCTCCCTAAAAATATGTATATTTTTAAAAGCAGTGAAAACATTTTAAAAATAAATAAAACGCTAGATCATGATGTGAGGAACTGCAGTTAATGGGTTCACAGCTACACACTATTAGGCCCCGAGGGCAGAAACGAGACAGAGTGGAAGGACTGAGCTTCCGCTCCTCCCAGCACTGTGTGTCAGGGAACAGCGGGCTCACCAAGCACAGAGCCTTCACAATTGAGGGACTGCCCGGGAAGACCTGGCCAAGGACCTGGCAAAACCCTGAAACAAAGGAGGAAAGAAACATGGCTAGCTCAGGGTAAAACATACGTATCCAAAAAAATGATGCCGCCGAGGAGATGAACATGATGGATGTATTAATAAGAATATGGCTTCTCTGAACTCAGATCTCTAAGAACAGATAAAAGCCTCAGAAAAGAGGCAAGAGAGTGAGAGGCTATCAAAGCAAGCTGGCAAAGTTCGCAGGAGAAATGAAAGGGGAAAATAAAACCGTCGTGAAGATCTTGTCGGAAGAAGCAAGAGAGACGCTGTTGCACGCAGCTGGAGCACAGGGCTTCGGCAGGAAGGTCTAAAAGGAAAATACTGAGAGCCACAGCGGGTAAAAACCTCTCACCTTACCTGGGAAAACAGGCACTCGAAACAAAGCTTCGATACTCTGGACTAATTTTTAAAAACCACATTGCACACACAAAAAGATGATAGTATCAAGACCAAACATCCCTCTGTGTACTGACAGAATGATTTGCAAGACGGAAGTTCTAAAATATAAGATTCAAACTGTGTGTAGGTGTGTGTGACTATTTGTAATACAAAAACGATATACGGACATGTGAATGTTTGTATGTGTACAGACATGTGAAGAACACACATTGAGCTGGAAACCACAGGGACTCTGAGGTGTGGGGTGGTTTCTTTTATCCTGGACCCTTGTGTGCTGTTTGAATGTCACCACTATCATCACCTCAACAACTAACTTTTCAAAGAAAGGGAAAATGTTTGTGAGAGTGTGTGTGTGTGTGTGTGTGTGTGTGTGTGTGTGTGCGCGCGCATGTGTATTTTTTATCCTCACCTAAGGATAAAAAATCTTTTATTAATGAGAGAGAGAGAGAAAGAGAGAGATAGAGAGATAGAGATAGAGATAGAGATAGAGATAGAGATAGAGATAGAGATAGAGATAGAGATAGAGAGAGAGAGAGAGAGAGAGAGAGAGGTAAGAAAGAGAAACATCAATCAGTTGTTTCCCCCACATGTCTGAACTGGGGATCAAACCCACAACCTTTTATGTATGGAACAATGATTCAAACAACTGAGTCACCTGGCCAGGGCTGTGTGTGTATTTCTTAAACAGTCAAGTATATGTGTAAATACAAAAGACTACACAATAGAAGCTCTACAGTCATTTCTTACATTGAGTGTACCAGTATATACACTGAGTGGCCAGATTATTATGCATTCAGAGGTCATCATAATCTGGCCACTCAGGGTACCATATCAACACAGTTAAACAACTGAATAAATAAAATTTGCTTCTTGTTTTACAAAAGGTATCATTCTTCCCCGACTAAGGACCCAGTTCAATGTCACCACATCATTGTACAACTAAGTCTTTTGAAGTTTTTCCGTTCAGTCAAGAACATACCTTCAGCCAAAACCGGTTTGGTGCAGTGGATAGAGCATCAGCCTGCGAACTGAAAGGTCCCAGGTTCGATTCCGGTCAGGGGCATGTACCTTGGTTGCAGGCACATCCCCAGTAGGGGGTGTGCAAGAGGCAGCTGGTCAATGATTCTCTCTCATCAATGTTTCTAACTCTCTATCCCTCTCTCTTCCTCTCTTTAAAAATTCAATAAAAATAAAAAATAAAAAGAACATACCTTCAGGCAAAAAGGTGTTCCCATATGTACAACCAGAAGGAGTGGTGTGTTCAACAACGTACCTGGGAAAGTTTCAGCCTCTCTCTGTGTACTGACATGGAATGTGGTCACGTGGCAGTGGCTTAGGAAAGTGAGCTGCTGTATGTCACTCTGTTCAGATGGATTTTCTCTGTGATCCACTTATAATACAACTAGTGTCCCCATGCATGGATTCGTGCACATTGAGAGGAAATGAATTAGAAGAAATTTTATTATCGCTATTCACCCTTTCTCTAGAAGTGTCGACCAAATTCACGATCAAAAGTGACATATCAAAACACACTGTGCGATTGGCGCCAGCAAGAGCTTTATATGTATCATGCATGTGCGAGTCAACTTAGCCTTTTATATATATAGATTAGGAACAGAGAATGTACAAGTCATGGTGGTATGGTCGTTACTGCTGCCCTGCTGGCTCCACCATAACACATTTGGGAATTTCAGCTACAGAAGTGGCATCCCACTCTGCTGGCAAGGCTCAGTGGCTGAGCATTGACCTATGAACCAGGAGGTCACATTTTGATTCCCGTCAGAGCACATGTTCAATTGCCAGCTGGATCCCCAGGAGGGTGCGTGTGGGAGGCAGCTGACCAAAGATTCTCTCTCATCATTGCTGGTTTTCTCTCTCTCTCTCCCTCTCCCTTCCTCTCTGAAATCAACGAAAATTTAATAAATTCAAAACAAAGAAGTGGCATTCCTGCATTGTCTTGGGGTCCTTCATGATACGAGGTTCTCGGGCCAATTTTGAGGTGTATAGTACTTAAAAAGGTAGCTGCTTTATTAAATGAGCGAAAAGTCAAGTGACACATTAATTTTCCATCCAAGAATCTAACCGTCCAAAAGAATAAAATAGGAACCATCCTCCAAGTGCTCCCAGTGAATGTGTGTTACCCGAGTCCAGGCTCTGTGGGGCCGGAAACACACGCGTGGTTCAGGTACAGACCAGTGCCGCAGCGAAACAATGACCTTAGCAAAGAAGAGCAAGCTTACCAGCTGCACCCGCTTTAAGAAATCAACGAAGACTTCACTTCTCAACATGTTTGGGTCCACGGTTACTGAAAAACATGGACACGGAGCCGGGTCAGCATGGGGCTGGGCTACCTTTCCTATTCCCCTGCTCTGACCTTCGGGAAGCCTCCAGGCCTTGCTGCCTCCTGGAAGGCAGTAGAGCCTGTGACCTTTCAAATACATCAAAATCTGCAAGGTTTTTTGTTTGCTTGTTTGTTTGTTTGTTTTTAAAGAAAGGTACTTTTTAGCCGAAACCGGTTTGGCTCAGTGGATAGAGCCTCGGTCTAGTGAAGGGTCCCGGATTTGATTCTGGTCAAGGGCATGTGCATTGGTTGCGGGCACATCCCCAGTAGGGGGTGTGCAGGAGGCAGCTGGTCGATGTTTCTCTCTCATCGATGTTTCTAGCTCTCTATCCCTCTCTCTTCCTCTCTGTAAAATCATCAATAAAATATATTTAAAAAAAAAGAAAGGTATTTTTTAATCATATACAAATACATACTACATGATTCCATTTATCTGACATGTGTCCAGAAGAAGAAAAGCTATAAAGACAGAATGAATGTAGTGGGTGACAGGGGCTAGTAGGGGAGAGGACTAGGGGGTGACTTATAATAGGAATGAATTTCTTTTTTGGGTGATAAAAATGTTCTCAAATTAGACCATGGTGACAGTCGCACAATCCTGTAAATATAACCACGGAATTGTACACTTTAAATGAGTGGATTTCATTTTGTGCAACCTACATCTCATTAAATCTATTCTAAAAAAAATCCAAATACCTACCATTTTGCAAATAATGTTCCAACTGGTCCCTCCTCTCATTAGCCATAGATGTGGTCATCGCGAGGTAGTACTTTGGTGGAAAGGGAGGCAGGCAATTTCCAAAGACCCGTCTCAGCTGAAAGATCCAGAAAACACACCTTTGTGGCAAAGAGCCTCCAATTCAAGGTTGGTGAGAAAGGCCTGGTACATGAATTCGTGCATGGGTGGGGTCCAGCCAGCCTGGCCAGGGGGAGGGGACATGGGTGGTTGGCCTGCCTGCCTGCTGGTCAAGCTCCTGGTTGAGGGGGAAATTTTTGCATATTAGCCTTTTATTACATAGGATATCCACTGAGTGTCCAGATTATTATGCGTTCAGAGATCATAATAATCTGGCCACTCAGTGTAGCTGTGCTTTACACACATGTGTTCCTTACTTTGTCAACTGAGGGCCTAGAAACAGCATGGCAGTCGCAGAAAACACACACACACACACACACACACAGTGCCTGGATCAGAGTTTCTAATACTGTTCTCCAAAAAAAGCTGCCAGCGCTGCATGGAGAAATGGCTGATCTGGGACTGAGGCAGGAAATATGCAAGATGAGCCTGAAGCATCTTGTTGTACCAGAAAATAGGGAAGTCCTCAGGGGGAAAAAAAAAAATCAGCAATAGGAACATATCAAAGAGATACAGGAGCAAACTGAAAGAGTTCCCTCGGCCAGAGCTGGAACAAGTTGAGCAACAAAATAAAGTCGAAGTACAGCCCAAAGAATAAAGCCACTATCCAGGAGTCCAAACAAGTATAAATGATTGAAGAAATAAATAAACAAACAAATCCTATGCAAATTGATTGTCACTCCAACATGGGCTGCCCCCATGAGGTCAAAATGACTGCCCCCATGTGGACACAAGTTGGTCACCACAAGATGGCTAGCAGGGGAGAGCAGTTGGGAGGGATCAGGCCAGCAGGGGAGGGCAGTTGGGAGGGACCAGGCCTGCAAGGGAGATCAGTTAGGGGCAATCAGGCTGGCAGGGGAGTGGTTAGGGAGTGATCAGGCTAGCAAGGAGAAGCGGTTAGGGGCAATCAGGAAGGCAGGCAGGACATCCCTCGAGGGGTCCCAGATTGGAGAGGGTGCAGGCTGGGCTGAGGGACACACACCCTCATGCACGAATTTCATGCACCCAGCCTCCAGTAAATAGACAAATCTCCTGTGCAGAAGAATCTCAAATAATTTATGTAGACACTCATCCCACAGGAGAAAGAATGTAAACTCCTAACCCTATGTGTGGGCTACATACAGTGACTTCCTTCCAAAAATACACTGTGGAAGAAGAGATACAAGAGTCACTACCTCAGCCAGGAGATCAAAGTTAACACCCACAGTGATGAGTCCTGCCAGTAGTGGTTGCCCTTTATAGGCTCTGATGACAAGGGCTCTTGACCTCTGTGGTCTGCCTCCAAAAAACACATCACCACAGTCTAGGCATGTGAAAACATCAGAGTCCAATAGAGCAGTGGTTGGCAAACCGCGGCTCACGAACCACACGTGGCTCACAAGCCGCGGTTTGCCACTCTGTTGACTAATGAGTTTGCTGACTACTGTCCCATACTTCCCCTTACCTTTTTGCACACAATATGCCACAATTGCCTAATTCTCACATCTTCCAACTACATGGTAACATTTAGTCTAGTCCAGTGGTCGGCAAACTAATTAGTCAACAGAGCAGCAAACCACGACTCAGGAGCTGCATGTGGCTCACAAGCCACGGTTTGCCAACCACTGCAATAGAGGAACAGTCCACAAAATACCTAACCAGCACTCCTCAAGCCAGTCCAGGTCATTCATAACAATGAAACCTAAGAAACTGTCACAGTGAAGAGAAGCCTAAGGGAAGGGACAACTAAATGTAATGTGGTGTCCTGGATGGGGTCATGGAACAAAAATAGGACACCAGGTAAACACGGAAGTCTGAATAAATTATAGACTCCAGTTAATAATATTATAGCAACACTGGTTCATCAACTATAGCAAATGTACCATACTAACAGAAAACAAGCGGAAAAACCGGGAGCAGGGTATATAGAAATTCTGTACTACCTTTGCAATTCTTCTGTAAACCCACAACTGGTCAACAAAATTAACGTTTATTTTGAACAAACTGAATTCTGGCTTCTCTTGAAAAATCAGAAGGTCTGGAATCACTGAGTCCCCATTCTCTTAAGCCAGTGGTCGGCAAACCGTGGCTCAAGAGCCACATGCATCTCTTTGGCCCTTTGAGTGTGGCTCTTCCACCAAACACCACAGCCTGGGCGAGTCTATTTTGAAGAAGTGGCTTTAGAAGAAGTTTAAGTTTAAAAAGTTTGGTTCTCGCTGAAACCGGTTTGGTTCAGTGGATAGAGTGTCAGTCTGCGGACTAAAGAGTCCCAGGTTCGATTCCGGTCAAGGGCATGTACATTGGTTGCGGGCACATTCCCAGTGGGAGGTGCGCAGGAGGCAGCTGGTCGATGTTTCTCTCTCATCGATATTTCTAGCTTTCTGTCCCTCTCCCTTCCTCTCTATAAAAAAAATCAATAAAATATATCAAATTAAAAAAAAGTTTGGCTCTCAAAAGAAATTTTAATCGTTGTACTGTTGATATTTGGCTCTGTTGACTAATGAGCTTGCCGACCATTGTCTTAAGCAATCATCCCCTTCAGAGGGTAGGCAGTTCCCACCTCCCCCTTGCCTCTCACCTGAGCTGTGCCTCTCATTTAAATTACCAGTCTGACTTCCATTTACGTTTACAAACTTTCTTCTAAGTCTGGCAGTATAAAGTTCTGTTTCTTTTCCACTCAAGGACATTTTCCTGCCATGCCAGAGACTGTCCAAAGGCACCTGCCCCACAGGGCAACTCAAACTTCTTGGGATTTATACACATCCAACGCCTATTGCCCCCCCGCCCCCCAATCTCTGCTAATTCCATTAAATAGAAGCAGAACCCTGTCTCCTTTGCATGCAATTATTACTTTTTATTAATTGATTAAGTGATCTTTAAAAGGCAATTGCCTTCCTTGGCACATGTTCATAAATGGCGCAGCTGCTCCCAAACTACTTGGGATGGCAGCAGGGCTGCCTGGGTTAAGCATCTCCAAGAGAGCATCTTACAGAATCCTCCACCCTCAGGCCAAGATCTGGGGAGAAAGTCAGCAAGAATTCAGGTTCCAATAACCACCCCAGAGCAAAAACTCTCCCAGCAGGTTTTACAGCCTGAGCTGACTCCTCAAAAAATCCTTCCCCTCCCTTCTCTAATACGGCTGGAAGGGGAAGATAAACATACAACAAGCTGTGGGTAAGTCTGCCAAAAGTCACTCTCGACTCACAAGTTCTTCAACTCTATGGACATAGAGCCTTTCCTGCTGAAATCAGACAGCACACAGTTTAGATATAAAAATCCAGCAGCAACCTGAGAAAGAATACCTGGTATGATCGTTTAGCCCACTCTTTCTAAAAATTATTTCAAGAGAACAAAAGGAAAACCTACTTCTTCTGTTCTTGTATTGTGACATGTTTTTGTTTGGACATTTTTTTAAAGACAATGTTCAGATAATATGTACTTTAAAAAAAAAAAAAAAATATATATATATATATATATATATATATATATATATATATATAATGTATTTCAGAGAGGAAGAGAGAGGAGAATGAAACCTCAATAATGAGAGAGAATCATTGATTGGCTGCCTCCTGCATGCCCGCTACTAGGGGATTGAGCCCGAAACCCTTTGGCAGGAATTCAATCTGGGACCCTTCAGTCACCAGGCCAACGCTCTATCCTCTGAGCCAAACCAACTAGGGCCAGGTAATATGTACTTTAATCCCAGCACCATCTCTTACCCCAGTTTCTCCATTGTGCAGTTCTGCCTTTTGACAGGAAGACTTAACTGGCCATCTGTGAAATATCACCTCCCTCCCCACCCTATATACTCTCAGCCACATACCCACCAGAGAGCACTGACCTGGGGCCAGTGAGATTACAGACACAAACAGTGGCCTTTCTACGTCTTCGTTTCTAATGTTAACTCATTCATCCCACTTCTCCGAGACCCCTTATTATAAAAATCCCAGATTCGTGGGATAAAGGTACATGTAGACAAAAGGGGCCACATGCTGACCTGACAAGCTCAGGGGAGGCCTGCATGGCGGTCTTGCAAACTCAAAGTCCTAAAGTCCCACAAAGGATAGTCTGAAATTAAACTTTAAAAGCAGTTCTGGTGGGTAGTCACCTCTCAGTCCGGTATCTTCACTGACAAGGTCAACCTTTACCTCAACTGAGCCTATCAGTCTTTTTGCATCTACGATAACACACCCTTGAAATGTCTGGGTAACTTGTAACTTCCCTTTTTCCTGACCCCTTGGGGCACAACCTAACGTGCCTGGGCGCCAGGTCAGATACCACAAATTCCTTCAATGTTATCATGTTGACTGTTGGCTGTCCTGCACCCACCTAAGTACGTGCCTACCATTTTACTTTTTATCCATTCTCAGAGTTCCCCTTCCCCACCCACTCTCCACCTTGCTTGGCTTTCTCCCGCCATTAGTTTATCACCCATGGATTTCATGTATCCACCTACATCCCTCCTTGGATTGCAATGTTTAAAAATAGATGAGAAACCGCTTTTCTCTGGACCATGATCTTAATATGTTGAGGTTCTACTTCTCAGCAATTGTGGACAGTTTGGCTCAAATGAACTCACAAAAATCCTTTGCAGGTTTGAATGTTTTTACGTTAACATACAGAAGAAGTCAAGCAGGTCACGTGGCAGAGAGATGGGCAGTACTCATCAGCAGAGGGGCAAGCTGCCAGGCCTGAGGGAGCCTCACTTGGGGACAGGGCTGTGATGTCTTAGAAGGGCTCAGGTCACAACCGACCTCTTGGAAACACCACCATCTCCCCAGGTGCAGCTCATTGCATCGTCCTCCACATCGCTCAGCTGGGCGGGAACAGGGGCCGGCTCACCTGAGCCAGGTGCTTCTCGGCCTCAGAGTTACCCAGTTTGCAAAATAGTTACCCAGTTTGTTAATCCTCACCCAAGGATATGTTTTCCATTGATTTTTAGGGAGAGTGGAAGGGTTGGGGGAGAGACAGAGGGAGAGAAACATCGATGTGAGAGAGGCACAACAGAGGTTGCCTCTTGCATGTGTCCCGACCCGGGCCAGGATTGAGCCTGCAACCGAGGTACATGCTCTTGAGTGGAATAGAACCTGGGACCCTTCCATCCATGGGCCGATGCTCTAACCACTGAGCAAAAATGGGTGAGACCCAGTTCTTAAAGCCAAAAACCTTATGTGCTCAAGTCAGAGTCTTCCCTTAAGCCAACACAGTTCTGGTATCTAATAGAACTCAGTAAACAGTTCTTAAATGCATGAATAAGTCAGTTAATTCTTAAGACAAAGATTCTGTCCTATGAGGATGTACCCTGTTTCCCCGAAAATAAGACAGTGTCTTATATTAATTTTTTCTCCCGAAGTTGCACTAGGTCTTATTTTCAGGGGATGTCTTATCTTTCCATGCGCTAGGTCTTATTTTCAGAGGATGTCTTATTTTTGGGGAAACACGGGTAGAACTTCCCAGGAAATGAACTGAAAATACACACACACACACACACACACACACACACACACACACACACACGGATGGGGCTTTTCTATTGTTTCCTTCTTTATAGTGCTTTGTATTAAATTGGATTAAAAACCCTGAGCTATTTCACATCTTCTATAGAATAGGAAGAATAAAATCTAGACGAGGTGTGGCTACAGGAGATCACCTTTTCAGTGTCAGACTCGGGGTTGCCAGATAAAATGCCTCGTGAAGCATGTCCCAAATATTGCTCGGGACATACTTATTCTTTAAAAAAGTGTGTGCTGTTTATCTGACATGGACTGGGCGTCCTGTGTCTCTATGTGCCAGGTCTGTCAGCTTTACTATCTGTAAAACGGGCTGATGCTGAGGATGCAATATCAGCCTTACAAGGGCTTGCTGAGCAGCTGGAGTGAAATCAGACAGAATGCAGAGCCTGGTTGCCTGGGGCCAGAGGTGGAGGGAAGGGGTGAAGGGCAGAGGAGACCAAGAACTTTGAGAATGTGGGGCCTGCTCTCTGTCTTAATTACGGTGGTGGTCACTGTGTACATTTACCGAAATTCATTATCCTGAACACTCCAGATTTTATTGAGTTATTCCACAATAGAAAAAAGCATGGCAGTTTAGAACTCAAGCATTTGACTCAACCTTTTTATTGATACAATTTGTAAACTTTGGTTTAAAAAAAAGTATATATATATAATGGGTCCAAGCAATGACAAAGATAAAATCCTGTCTCTGATGCTGACCAGCGGTATGACTTTGATCATGTGGGTTGTCCCCCAGTGTTCTCACCTGCTACGTGGGCTAGCTATGATCCTAGCTCACAGAACTGTCATAAAAATTATAAGCACGATTCCATGCAAAGCTCGAGGCATCAGTAACTGCCTAATTGTTATTGTTTAAAATTAATAATAAATACCATCCCTAGCTGATAGGGCTCAGTGGATAGAGCATTGGCCTGTGGACTGAAGGGTCCTGGGTCCCAAGATCAATTCCGGTCAAGGGCATATGCCCAGATGTGGGCTCCATCCCCAGAGGGGGGCATGCAGGAGGCAGCTAATCAATGATTCTCTTCCATCATCGATGTTTCTATCTCTCTCTCCCTCTCCCTTCCTGTCTGAAATCAATGAAAACATACTTTAATAATAATAATAATAATAATTAATAAATACCAATAGCCACCTAAGATCTAAATAGTTTCTTTAAAATGGAGTTGTTTCTAAAGAAAAGGGAACAACAGATGAGTGGATTAAAAACCTGTGGTACATCTACACAATGGAATACTACGTTGCTGTAAAAAAGAAGCAATTCTTACCATTTGCAACAACATGGATAGAACTGGAGAGCAGTGTGCTAAACAAAATAAGCCAGTCTGAGAAAGATAAATATCACATGATCTCACTCATTTGTGGAATATAATGAACAACATAAAGTGATAAACAAAAACAGATCCGGAGACAGGGAAGCATCGATCAGATACTCAAACCTCAGAGGGAAGGCAGGGGAGGGTGGAGGTAAGGAGGAGAGATCAACCAAAGGACTTGTATGTGTGCATATGCCTAACCAATGGACACAGACATCAGGTGGTGAGGGCATGAGTGGGGGCTGGTGAGGTCATGGAAGGATAAAGACACATATGTAATACCTTAATCAATGAAGAAGAAAAAAAAAAAAAAGCACAACTTAAAAAAAAGAAAGAAAGAAAAGGGAACAATAAGTGCAAGGTGTCAGGGGCACTTATTGTGAGTTCTGAGCCAAACCTTACCCACCGCTGGTCCTGTCCATCCCGCTGCTGGGCAGGTCAGGAGCCTGAGCCGCTTTCAGGGCCCAGAGCCCACGCGGCACCCGCTCCTCACTGTGCCCGGTGCCAGGAGCCCGGTGCCCGGTGCCTGGTGCCCTGTGCCCAGACTAGGCTCACCTGCTCGTCCCAGCGATGCAGCTGGCTGTAGCGCACCCTGCAGAACAGCAGCCCGTCCAGGTACACGGAGTACAGCTGCCAACAGAGAGGGTCCGGGTCAGCCCCGAGCAGGTGAACCCCGCCCGTCCCCGCCTCCCCCGCCCGGGGGGACCCCGCGCCCCCCGCGCACCGTGTAGCGGCCGCCCAGCGCGTCGGGCCGCTGCTGGGACACCGGGATGCAGAAGTGCATCTTCATAGCTCCGGGCTGGGTTAGGTCCGCGGCGGGGCAGCCGGGCCGGCCGTCTTAGGCTCTGAGCCCCGAGCAGTGGGGTGGGCGCGGCCGCGTGGCCAGGCCGTCTGGGCGGAGCCCGGCTCCCGCTCCCTCAGGGTCGCCGACGCCCGCAGGTGGGGCCGGGGCCGCGGCGCCTCCTCCCGGTCCCCGCCCGCCCTGACTGCGCTGCTCAGGTCCCAGGACCGGGGGAGGGGAGGGTGAAGGGTGGAGCATGCCTGTGGGCAAGGGCCGAGCCCGCCACACCGCCCGGCCCCGTGCCCCCCGCCGCCGCGGGCAGCCAGCGCGGGAGGCTGGGCGCCCAGGGGCCGGGCAGGGCCTGGCACGGAGCTCACGGTGGAGAGACCGACGTCGGAGGGGGTGCCAGAGCCTCTCTCCCGCCAGGGGTTCCCCCCTGGAGTCTGGAGGCTCCTTGGGGTGGGGGTGGTGGGACGTAACTGTGCATGGATGAGTGGGTGAGGAGATAGAATTCCTCTGGGGAGCAGGTCCAGGGTTTTATCCGAATTTCAGAAATGGGGGGAAGGTAGAAGTCGTTGCTCCAGCTGCACAGATGTCCTGAACACTAACTACTTCCCATCAGCCCCAAATCTCAGTGTTGGCTACTTGCTGGAGGTTGGCTACTTGCTCTAGGGTGCCCAGCTGGAGAGAATCTCCAAGCGTACCCTCCAGGGCCCACACTCCGCTGGGGCTTGCAGAATGTCCAGCCCCCCCCCCCTCCTCCCCTGACGTTGGGTCCACCCTGAAGGACAGAGACAGAGATCACTTTCAGACCCACCCTCAGACTACAGATGTTGGGGCCTTGAAAGCAGTTTTCTCCCATCACCTGCCAACACTGCCTGCAGGGCACTGTGAATTACGATGTTCTCAAAAAATGCATAATTCGAGTCATTGCTCTGTGACTGCCACAGTTATATTAGGGTCAGTTGTTTGGGCTAACACTTGTTAAATGTAACTCAAGGATTTAAAAAAAAGAAAAAATCCGTGTATGAGTGAACCAATGCAGTTCAAACCCACCTTGTTCAAGGGCCACCTGTATTTTGGATGTGAGGTTGGGAATCCAAGTATTCAAAGGGCTGACCCTTTATCCCTGGATTTTCAGCTGTGAGGTGAGGTAGGTTGGCACCCCTCACCTCACCCCAAGCTCGCTGGTCAAAAGTTAACTGTGTTTGTTATTACCAAGCTCTAGTATTTGTTAACTGCTAAATATTTTTCTTTAAAAAAAAAAAAAATCCACAAGAGCCCTGACTGGTTTGGCTCAGTGGATAGAGCATTGGCCTGCGGACTGAGGGGTCGGTCCCAGGTGCGATTCCGGTTAAGAGCATGTACCTTGGTTGTGGGTACATCCCTGGTGGGGGGTGAACAGGAGGCAGCTGATTGATTTTTTTCTCTCTTATCAATGATTCTAACACTCTATCCCTCTTCCTTCCTGTCTGTAAAAAAATCAATAAAATATATATGTTTTTTAAAACCACAATAACTTCTTTTTTAGAAATTAATGATGAAGATTTTTAAGGGTCTTAGGGTTTGCAAAGTGAAAGCACATCTAGGCAATCCCCAGGGTGTTCCTGAGAAAAAAGAAACGCTGAGGGTTCTTATAATAAAAACTACGTTTTTGAGAAAAATGGGTCCTGGAAGCTTAGCCTCCAGGTTGGTCTAAGATGGCAGTATGCAACTGCCAGGTTGCCTGGCCACAGGCACATTCTTTCCTCAAGTCTTTAGGGGTAGTCAGGGGGTTATCTGGGGGTTTGCTGTATAGCCAGGCATTGCTGCAGGACCGGAAAGTTAAAAAGCTGAAGTTCCCAGGCTTGTTAAAGTAAGGATGGTTTCCTTGTGCCTTACGCTGCAATGTTTTTTGCTAATTTAGCAGCTTGACTAGAGTGACTCCATTTTATTTATCTCTTTCCTCACAGGCCAGGTCTTGCTTGGTTACATAACCAATGTTTATTGTTTGAATTATTATTTAAAAAGTTTAATGTTGATATTATTGTAGACTTCCCTCATCCACTTCAACCCACACACACACCTCCCTCTCCTTTGGCCTTTGTCACACTTTTTCCCATGTCCATGGGGCATGCATATATGCTCTTTAGCTAATCCCTTCATTGATCTAGACATCCCCACTTCCCTCCAGTCTGTTCCGTGTGCCCATGCTTCTGGTTCCATTTTTTTCATCAGTGTATTTTGTCCATTAGAATTCCACATATTAGTGAGATCATATGGCATTTGTCTTGCTTTGATGAGCTTATTTCACATAACACTCTCGGGTCCCCCCATGCTGTCACAAAGAGTAAGAGTTCCTTCTTTTTCTATAGCACGTGGTATTGGATTGTGTACATGTTTCTTTTTTTATTTTTATTAATATACCAGGAGCCTCATTAAATGGTAGAGGCTTGGGCCTCTCCTGATCCCCAAGAAGCCCTGGTTTTAAACAGATGTCGGCAGCCAGTTAGCTGGGGTCACAAAAACCCTTTGTTCTCTGCACTAAGCATCCCAAGTTCTCTCAACAGTCTCTCATTTTTTAAAATTGATTCTCCTCTTTTTTTTTCTTTCTTCCTTTTTTTTTTTTTTTTTTTTTTTTTTTTTTTAGAGAGAGAGAGGAAAGTAGAGGGAGAAAGCCACCTCCTGCTCTGTTTGAGGTTGTTTTTTGTTTTGTTTTGTTTTTGTGTATGTGTGTGTGTGTATGTGTACTTTTTTTTTTTTTTTTAAAGATTTCACATATAGGTGAGATCATAGACTATTCATCTTTTCTCAGTCTGACTTATTTCACTTAGCATAATGCCCTCAAAATCCATTCATCCATATTGTTGAAAAAATGTTTTTGTGGCTGACTAATGTTCCATTGCAGGTATGTAGAGAGCACATTTTCTTAGCCATTCATTCTCTGATGAACATGAAGGTCGCTTCCATGTATTGGCTGCTGTACACAGTGCTGCAGTGAGCATGGGGGTGCATATATCTTTTGGAGTTAGTGTTATCTCCTTGGAATAAATATCCAGAGGTGGAATTGCCAGATCCTATGGTGGTTCTATATGTGATCTTTACTTTTTAGGACACAAAGTATCTTGCCCTAGGTGAGACAGGCTGAACCTCACGGCCGGGATTTGCAGTTTGACTCCTTGGGTTCTGCAGAGGACACGGCAGAAGCCAAGCGACAGGACAGCGGGGCCCGGCCTGGTAGACTTTGTGGGAGTTTCCAGGAGTCCCCACACTTCTCAGAGTTCTTTGCAGTGGGTCCAGGTCTTCGCTGAGCAGAGAGGGCGTGAACCAGTGACAGCCGCCTCATCACTTTTAGTGAGGCCGTTCTGGACCCACCGGCGGATAGGTCTGGGGGCTCAGGGCAAAACACAATTGCTTTCCAGCTGAGCAGCACAGGCAGAAAACAAGTCGATTTAACAATTTATATTCATATACGGATTACAGAGCGAGATCTGGCAATAAAGGGCGTACAGAGACTTGGGGACGTTCACCCGGAGTGGGAACTGTGGGAGGGCGCTGGAGCCCGGGTTCAGAAAACCTGCTGGGTGAGGCGGGGGTCCCAGAACCCACTGCCTGGCCCCTCTGCCTCCTTTGCTCTCGCAAAGGGTCTGAAGAGGGTCTCGCCTGCCTTTTCAGCCTCTGGGGGCTCCTTGCCGCATCATTTCAATCTTTACATGGCCCCTCCTCCGTCCTCACGTGCCCACTCTTGCGTGATCACGTGGCCCTACCCCTTGTTCAGGGCTCACTTCCGTTTGTTCATGTGGCCCCGCCCCCTCGATCACGTGCTCACTTACGGCTGTTCACGTGGTCACTTACGGCTGTCCACGTGCTCATTTATGGCTGTTCCCAGCTCATTTACAGCTGTTCACATGCTCACTTACGGCTGTCCATGTGGCCCCGCCCCCTTGATCACGTGCTCACTTACGGCTGTCCACGTGCTCACTTACAGCTGTCCACGTGGCCCCGCCCCCTGGTTACATGATTGCTTACGGCTGTTCACGTGACCCCGCCCCTTGGAGCCCGGGTGGGCTGTTTCCGGTGCCCGCTCCGTGTGCCCGCTCGCGCACCTGTCAGCAGGCCTGTGCCCACGTCCCCCCGGGAAGCCGTGCGAGGGCGCAGCTCCCCTGTTGGGCGTGACGGCCGGACTGAGGGGAGCGCGGGGCGCAGTGGCCCGGCCAGAGGCCGCCCAAGAGGAACCTGGAAGGCCCTGCTGCAGGGTGACCAGTGGCTGGAAAACACTTTCCTGGATCTCCTCAAACAAGAGAACGCTTTTTCTTCTTTCAAAAAGTCCGTGTTTCTAACAGTCACCCCTTCAGGCTGCATGGTCCTCAGTCACACGGACTCTCAGACCTGGAACAAGGTTCCGGAAATATGTGCTCTTTAACCCTAATCCAAGACTGAAAGGCCCTTCATCGATTCCGATGGGCCATCGCCAAGGTCACTGCTGCTTAAGCGGCCCCCTCTGTCCCTCTGCATGAGGACTGCAGTGACTTCAGGTGGGCCACCTTGGCTCCTGGGGCCAAGAGAAGCAGGCTCGGCCTCTCTTCCGGATGTGGCTCATCGGTCCTTCCAAATGGGCCAGCCGATGGAGGGTGTGCATTTTGACTCGTTTAGCCTCAAAAGGATGCTAGCCAGTCTCCCTGGCCTTATGATGGTTGGGTGCTTTTGAGCCAGTGTTGGCATCTTCTCCAATTATCTGCGTGTTCTGGGGGGGTTAACACAGCACCTGTAGCTTCTTAGCTGTCTCCTCTTACCCGCAGACTGGACTGCCGAGCTCCTGGATCATCAAACAAAGGGTAAGCACTTGGATCGTGACCCAGCTCTTTTCCTGTTCTCTTGACACTTCCCCAACAGGAAAGGCTCTGGGTAATTGATAGAGATTATCCCTGATTCCCTTAATAAGTGTTTCCCAAAGTGTGGTACGCATACCCCCAGGGGTATGGGAAGAGTTTGGTGGGGGTACGAGTTGCACCGGAGTTTGATGGACCTTG